CAGATCAATTTTCCACATGACATTCTAGAAGTATTTTGTAAAAATACATTTTTGAATAACAAATAACTTGTCTTTCTCCAAACAGGTTAAGAATTTCATTTCTTTAGGGGGACCACATGCCGGGACCGCCTCTGTTCCTCTTTGTGGGGTAAGCGCTTTCATGGTTTAGCTTTGTTTGTACTTCATCTAGATTTCTATGCGAACACTTAGAAATGCCTTAGCAGGGCTTAATGGGGGAAAATACTTTTGAGAGTCAGCTTTAAAACTACTGAAAAATTCATAAAAGCCCTTTAAATTATCTATACTATGTTTGAGATGGAAAGTGGAAGCAGGTTCAGCAAATGCCCTTGCTTCAAATTGCATGTTACATCTTCAATTCTTATGATGAAAAAAATGTTGTGCATGGGCTTGTTTCAAGCTGCAAATACCCACCACCTTAACTGCATATAAAATTGACTTGCATGGTGCAAAAACTCGATGTCGTTATAAAATATCATTAAACTTTCTAAACAGACAAAGTCAAATTTATGCAAAAATCTTTTGTTAAAAAGCTTGGCTGTCGGCCTTCTATTTGGTAGTTGGTAGGAAGAGTGCATGGTGATGGGACACTATCCTATGCTATTGAAAATTAAAAGGTCCTTCTGACTTAAATACTTGTAGATATTCATTTTCATAGATAGGAGATCTAAAGTTTCATACTAACAGAAGATTAATTGCAACTTGCAAGGTTTTTTTTTTATATATAGTAATTCACAAATAGTAAGTAATTCACAAATGGCATGGTGTTGAAGCACAAATTTTTGAAGTTGAGATTCAGAGGTTGAATTTGAGGTATGGAGGTTCATACTTAATGCATAGGGATATATAATTTAAAGAACAAAGGAGTCCTGGCTGTTTAGTTGTTTTGTTTGGTTGAGTTTTGGGGAATCTCGCAAGTGAACTGAAAAATATGGTTTCCTTGTAAATGGTACTGAACAGTTTCATCTAAGTGAGTACCAAAACCAACCAAAGAACTTAAGTTTGATCATGGATTTATTTTGTTTTCTGGACTGATTGAAATCCAAAACTTTTAATCAAATCAATTAACACTTGAAGCATGCTGTACTTTCCAAACATGAACCCATGCCTGTGTTGTTCATACTAGCATATAAAACATTAAGGGAATGACATTTATTAAAGATTGTCTCTTATCTGTCTAACCTGCCTTTGATTTGAGGCTTCTCCACACATAAGCTGACAGGAGGTCTTCTTTCAATTTTAAAGTGGAAGCTTGCCTCCTCTTATCTTAATTGGTCAATGCATGACCTGTGAAGTTTGTCACCCATATTAACCATATAAGAAAAGGGGAGGCCTTGCATCCTCTTTAAAAATTGAGGGAAGGCTTCTTATGATCTTATAAGTGAGAGATTATTCACATCAACCAAAATAAACCAACCAAAGAACTTAAGTTTGGTCATGGTTTTATTTTATTTTCTGGACTGAATGAAATCTAAAACTTTTAATCAACTCAATTAACACTTGAAGTATGCTGTACTTTCCAAGCATGAACACATGCTTGTGCTGTTCATACTGCCCTTGAAGATTGTCTTTTATTGAAGATTGTCTCTTATCTGTCTAACCTGCCCTTGATTTAAGGCTTCTCCACATACAAGTTGACAGGAGATCTTCTTTCATTTTTTGAAGTAGTGGCCTGCCTACTCGTATCTTATTTGGTCAATGCAGGACTTGTGAAGTTTGTTACCCATATTGACCATATAAGAAAAGAGGAGGCCATGCATCCTCTTTAAAAATGGAGGGAAGGCTTCTTATGATCTTATATGTGAGAGTATTCACATCAAAATATATAGAGGAGGTTGTGGTCCACATTATAAATGATGATGGATTCTTAAGTTTTGTCTATTTTAGTAGGCCCGAATGAGTTCACCATCTTACTCTTTAAGATAACACCATTAAGTTAATTCTTTTTTGTGATCTCAGACCAAATTACCATAACATCTATAATTTTTTGTAGCAAAATTGCGATTGGTTATTACAGTTTTGGAGTTTCAAAATTAAACCAGACCATAAGGGTAGGCTACAGTTTATAAATCAAAACCATATCAAATAACCAAAATGCGTCTTTTCGGTTAAGCATTTGGTTCTAACCAAATGATCCACATCCTTACAAAGATGTTGTGCTGAAGATAGAGTTGTGGGTTGAGGAATAAAATTATAGAGCAAAAGGGAAAGATAGGAGGTTGAAATCAAGTTCATAGATGGCACTGAAACTTAGCGGTATGGGGTTTTTTGCACAATATACAGAGTTAAAAACGCAGTAATATGGACTTGAACCATGAAGGTGTGGAATTGACATCCTGTAGAGAGAAGAAAATAAGATTGGACGTCCTTACCTTGGACATACATTTAAGAAGGTATCATTATGGTTTACTAATATATATTAGATCTTCTGAACTCCGCTCTTGGAAAGCACCTATAATAAAGATTGCTTTGCTCCTTTCTTGTTAGTTTCTTTCTCTGGGTTCTTATTAATATGTTTAAAGTGACTCTGGTTCTGCAGTCTGGCATTTTTTGCAAACTTGCTGATGCCTTAATTAAGTCCAAGATCTATAGCGACTATGTCCAGGTATGCATCTGTCTCTTTGTTTTCTTTAACTTTTGCAGGACCAATTAAGAGAATTTTTTTTTTTCCTGCTTTCAAATATCATTCTCATTCAAATATCCCTGAAAATGCTTGACAAGTTATATTGACATGTGGAATTGCAGGCTCACCTGGCTCCCAGTGGCTATCTTAAATTTCCTAATGTGAGTACCATGCCCTATTATACAGGTTCTTTTGACTGCAGGATCTCTCTGTAATCAATTTCTTCAAGAAACCTATATGATTGTGTAATACCACAAAAATCTGTAGCCTGCTTTGGTCAATTCATTATTGGTTTATGGATTTTCTTTTCTTTTCTTGGAGTGTGTTGTCATCAAATTACTCTTGCCATTATAGATAGGTTTTGTTGTGTGTTTTATACTAACTGGGCAATGATAGCTCAACATCTTAATATGAGAATTATTTCTTAATTGCCAGGATATTCCACACTACATGGAGAAATGTAGGTTTCTTCCAAAGCTTAACAATGAAATTCCTGAGGAAAGGAACACAACTTACAAGGAAAGATTCAGTAGCTTGCAGAATTTGGTGCTTATTATGGTGAGAAGAATTTCCTTTTTTTCTTATCAAAACATCACCTGGTCCTCTTGGCAATTTTATTTGTTATTTTGACAGTTGGTGCAATTCTAATTGTTGCACTTTTTTTCTTTTGCTATATTTTGTTTGAATTTCAACAGTTTGAAAATGACAATGTTTTGATACCTAAGGAGACCTCTTGGTTTGGATATTATCCAGATGGGGCTTTCAAGCCAATTGTCCCGGCAAATCAGGTACAATGTTTGTTTTGAAATAAATTTTCAAATCCAAATCTGTTTTCTGGCAGATTTCTGCATGTTAAATTTGTTAACTGGGTATGCATGGCCATACTAATCTCACTGTGCTTGATTGGAATTTTTTTTTTTTTAGGAAATAGCACAACTTGCCTGGATCTATTTTTAACTTTTTTTTTCCTTGTGAATTATAAGTTGCTCTGTTAAGAAAAATATATTCGAGCAGGAGCTTAGCCATCTTAACCTCTATTTTGATCTTCTCGCAGACAGCGCTTTACACTGAAGACTGGATTGGTCTCAAGGCCTTAGACGAGGCTGGAAGAGTTCATTTCGTTAATGTGTCAGGAGGTCATCTTGGAATCTCTGAGAGTGATATGAAAAAACATGTTGTGCCTTTCTTAGTGGATGAAGCTTCAGTGGAAAAGTACAGTAATGCTAGGGCGCATGGACTTCCACGGACAAGCACACAAAACTACCATAGAAAACAAGTTGCGGGCAGCTTTATTGACGAAACATCAAATGAAAGGATACTCGATGGATCATCATCTTATCAGTGGCCATCCTCAGTAAAAAACTTTTTCAGGGAACTAGTGGGTCTTGCTGAGGAGAATGATTCAGATTGATCTATGAATTGGATGGAATGTGAAAACCTACAGTAATTTGTGCATGACAGTTGATGGGATTCATCAACACCGCTAAGTAAAAAATAGTCCACTCTGCTTTAGCTTTGCTATACCAAAGCAATTATGATCAAATCCCTTGGATCCCAGCCCCTCCGTGAAGCTCCGGGATTTGGTATGTAATGTTATGATGAAAACAAGGATTACGACTTTACACAGCAACTGTTGGTATAATTGGCATCTTAAGATTCACTATTGTGTACTACTGCATCTGCTAGTCATAAGGGCATGAAATCCACGTTGTCCGTGAAACACATTTGTACATGAGTGCAATAAGAACATTTGCGAGTTAAAATTGTTCTAACACGTCATTCAAACTCGAAAAACATGTCCAATCAGTCATTTACTTCCATGTTTTCCCAATCTGCTCAGTAGCCAATTGAAGCCTGCTATGATCCTGTTCCATCCCTAATCTACTCGTGTAATCTTGTGCCATTCCTAATGTACTCATGCTGGTTTCGCCCTTCTCAGCAATTTCGAGGCTCTACAGTGGTATGATCACGACTTTTAAATGTAAACTCCATGACCACATCCAACTCCGTCGTCCCGCCCTGCCTAACACAATCCCTTCTCAACAGAATTTGTTAAACCTGCGAGAGCCTTTATACAAAGAATCTTAGAAACACTCTTGATTCCCATCCCATCAAGAACGAATTTCTTAAAAACTATTTGGTATTGAATTCTACAAGGATTCCATCCTGGCCCAAATTCATGTGTCTTTAATTAGAGACGAGTGTCTCGATGGCTCGCCATTTGCTAGTCCAGGCTGTTATGGTCCCCCAATTGATGCTTTCCTTGGCTAGGAGGCTGACTCGGTGAGCCAGTTCACAACTTGCTGGTCCAGGTTTAACATAAAAAAGAGTGCAAATTGCACCACAGCATGAAAGCATATTCTTCCACGAACTGCACCATCATTAAATTGAGCATTTTGCTCGTGTTTCTTACATTTGACTTGAGACTAAGAACAGCTCGATTTATAAGGGGTGAGAAAAGAACCGAAGTTCTTTCCTGCCTAATTGAACATTATTTCACTTTATATACGGGGAAATTTAAAAAAGAAAAAGACCTTGTCAAACTTGTATGCAATTTCAGCAGCTATTCAATACACATGAATGTCAACACTGATAGCTCCCAGGTGATCTGCCATGATTGAGCAGCTGTTCTTCCTGTTTAATTGCTCCCCAACAATCTTCTGGTGAGTCTGGCAGCGGAGCCAGAGGCAGGATATTCTTTCCAGAGCTGCCTGACTAGCAACTCGAACCCGGCAGACCACACTTAGATCAGCCCATATCTCACTTCCCACAGGCCCAGATTCAAGATTTGGTTTGTATCCATCAAGATCTGCTTCTGTAACAACAACTACAGAGCCATCATCAAAAGGCACCAGATCCTGCAAAAGTGCTTGCTTTGGAGTTCCCAAAACTACATCAGTCATTTTGATGTTGTGATCACTAGTGTTCACCTTTAGATGATAATATTCCTGAACAGCCTGCATTTGCAACCAACAGCTAGTAACTAATCAAGGACATGCAAGAACCTTGTTAGAAAATGTCTAGGAAATTCCATAGAGTATTTCAAGGCTTTGGGATGAAAAAAAAAAATAGCTAGGCAAAAATAGCATCAATTTTTCCTCTTAGTTTCCTTGGTTATGGTAAATTAGGAGGACTAAAAAATACATTTCATAAAAGAGTGCATGCCAGACAGTTCTAACTGTCAAAATCTTTTGTACTCAGTTTCACGAAGTTTGGTAAAATCCAGGGGGGAAAACTACAATTTACATAAGAAATTCACAACTTCTTAAACTAAATCACAGGGAAAACGAGGCCCAGCCTAAGCATACCTTCCATTGAGCAGATGCTAGAAGCACTCTTGGTCGGATTGACCTCAAATATTTATATGCAGCCTCAGGTGTCATCTGCTTGTGGTGCACCTGCATATTAAAACAAAACTTTAGAGCAGGTGCAAGGAAATAAAACACCTATAAGAAGTTGAATTTCAAATTGGATTAATGACCAGGTAGCATATAACAATGGTTGTGCTGCGTCCCCGGCCAGCTTTGCAATGAACATAAGTAGTTTGTCCAAATGATACATTTTCTTCAAAGGAAAAACAAACATAAGCAGCATCAGAATCACAGGAATAATAATTTCACCTGTATGTAAAATATTTTGGTGTTTCACAAAACACAATTAAATCTCACCATGAATGAATGCTACAGCTTTGCTTATATCATTCAAGGACGGAGCAAAGCAGTAGTCTCTTGTAGGAAGCACCAGATGGTCAATGCCATAAGCCTGCCAACATTTTTCATAAGTAAATTCCAAAGGTAGGCACTTCAAAAAATGGAATTTAATATAAATAAATGTCAAACAATGATCGTATTGACAAGATATAGAAACAGAACAATTAAACTAAATGCAACCACTGGGCAGACAATGCAGCCAAAAATACGAAGTGGAAAACTGAATCCAGAGATCATTTCGATTCCATTAGTAATGACGATTCAGAATATCACACATTGATCAATCAAAGAGATATTCAACAACTAAAAGAAAGATCGATTCTTTGGGATCCTTCCTCTCTTCAAACGGAACGAACAGAGATAGAATCATCCCAAAGCAGACGACTGTTTGATGTACATGTGCAGACTATCCATGTAACATGAATCAGCTGTCTGCTGATCTTACCAGCTCATAAAAATAGGAACTATTCACACACACTCTCCTACCTGAAAGGGTGAGGGGAGAGAGTGAAAGCACTTACATGGTATAAAGAAGTTGGTACCAAAGTCTCATACGGTTCGTTCAGTGTTATCACTCCACCAACACCAAGCCCCTTTAGGCATGGAACATCAGAAGGCAATGGAACAGCACCTAACAATATAAACTGCAAATAAATATATTAGAAAACGAAAGAAATTGGGAAGGCCACTTGATATGAAATTCATTACATAAAGGCCCAATACTGCAAAAGTCTTCAGACAGCTCCAAGAATCTTAAGCTCAGAGAATATGAGCTAATACACCATGTACTACTGACATGTACTATTTGCAGACACATCATGCAAAAACAATAGGAGATAAAAAAAAATAGAATACTACGTTCACAGGTGGTCGTGCAAAAACAATAGGAGATAAAAAAGAAAAATAGAATACTACGTTCACAGGTGGTCTATGAGCAAAAGCTGCAACCTTTGCTCGCAAAGTAAGAATATCGAAAGAAAATGCTCTTAATAAACCTTAATGCAAGTTCACATTTTACAAGCTTGCAGAACTAATGATAAAAGTTCCAGATTGGAGTGGCTCCTCACTCCCATCAACAGGTCAGTGCCCTAGTAAGTTTAAAAGCACAGCAGAAACAAGTGTGCTTGGAAATTTAAACGTTAAAAGAAAGCAGTAATAAAGTGAGCAAAAGAAAAGGGAATGAAAAACTCCCCAAAATATCGTTACTTGCTTAAAGACAACTGCTTCCTTCACAAAAGTTATTCATGTTAGAAGCACAATCTCCTATCCTAAACTCGTTCTTCCTTCACTTAATCTACACAGACATCAAAACTCAACCAAAAACAGAAACTACCACACAAACAGAACCAAAAAAAAAGCTGATTGACATCAAAACACGTGGCAACTATGTCAAATCCACCCACCCACCTACAAGGGTCTGTAACATAAAACAAAAACACCAAGAACAAATCAAATTTCAAACTTCGAACACCCCAAAACCATTCTCCACACATAAAGGCAAAAAACCCACATACAAGTCATCCACACAAGCCATATTAGACCAAGAAAGAAAACAAATAACTTCAAAAACAGCTTAAAAAATCATCTATACAAGCATGAAACAGAAAAATTATACCTCATGGACTCTATCCCACCAGCGAAACTCAGCCTGGACCTTGTTCCTAACAACATTATAAAGCAAAGTCGGGTAAAACAAAGCCCGAGCTCCGACTCCAATAAAAACCCGCTTCGCATCCCACACAATAACACCTTCACTCTCCTCCTTAGCACTTCCTAAACACAATTCCTTCCCCCCCTCCCCTCTTTCCAACTCACCTCCACTCAATTCCTCAATTATCATTATATCCCCAAATTCGGACACCAGATCAATCGCAATCAAAATCACAGCCAAATCCCTAAGGAACCCTAATTAAAATTATCTCTGTATACCTGTGCGAACCGATGGGTATTTACACAATAGTTGACCAAAATGAAATCCTCACATCAGTTAAAATGAAAAAAAAAAACACCCTAAGCTAAAGGCTTTTACAGCGATTAAAGATATAGAGATTGATTTTAATAGAATCGATTGATTTCGAAATGATTGAATTGGGGTTTCTAGGTGAAATCACCATCGTTAGAGAAAAGAAAACGAAAAAAAGGGGTTCAACAGGACGGTAAAATCCAGGTGGTGTGATCTGATGAAAAATATGATCGATTTGATTTTGTGAAAAAAAAAATGGAAATCCTAGCCTTAACCCAAGATTGCCTGGATTCTACTCTTTCGCTCTTTTTTCTCAATATACAAACTTTGAAAGAGAGAGAGTGTGAGAGAGTGGTAGTCAAGGCCAACGAGATTTCGAGAGATTGGGATTGTGGAGGAAGCTTAGGTTGACGAGCGGGTGATAAACACGGGTGACACGTGTTGAGGGTGGATGTGGCCTTTGGGTAAAAGTTGGGTAGGTGTACTGTAATCATAAATTATTACGATTACAGTGCGGTGTCTTATAAATATATGACATGCTCATTTTGATAATTGTTCAGAAACAATTTTCTTATTATTATTAAAATGGTGCTGTTTTAAAAATTTTAGAAAAAAACTTCAAATAATGTAGCGTCAAGGATTTTAGAAAAAAGTCAAAGTTAAGGTTTATTTAGATTGAAATTGTAAGCTTACTTTTGATTAAAAATAATCAGCTCATGTATTACTTTTAAAGTTTTAAAATAGAAGTGCTAGAGTCGCTCCAACAGACGAGCCAAATAAAAAATTAAAAATATTTTATTATTTTTTTTTGTTCATATCCCAATAAATAAGTTAAATAAATAGTTATTTTTGCTATTTGTTTTATTAACAGTCATTTCTGCATTTAACTGTAGAAATGGCTAAAACAATAGCTGTTAACCAACGGCTATTTTTATAGCCATTGGCCAATAATTTTTTTTTAAAATATAAAAAAAATCTTTTATAAATACATGAAGAAAAAATTTATAGTTTTAAATTTTTGTATTGTGCCTCATCCTTCTCTCAAATTTAAAAAAAAAAAAAACAAGAATCAATTATTCTCCGGTTGATTATTAACATCGGTTGTGTTAATTAGTTGAAATTAAAAGGTATGCTTGTTTAAAAGCTTTTTCTATTTTCTCTTTTATATTTCTTGATTTTTTAAACCTTTTGTTGTTAATTTCATATTTGTGATGATTTTTATTTCTTTATTATTTTATGTTTTTAATATAGGTTAAGGAAGATAATTTTTATTTATGTTGTTATCTTTGATAAAATTAAGAGGAATTAATAAAGGTAGTTGATATTGATAAAAATATAGAGTGACATATTTAAAATTTATTTTTTATTATCTATTTTAATTTGAGGTCAATTATATTTAGTATTGTTGAAAATATAATTAAACTAGTATATCAATCCTCTTTAGTTCCAAAAAATGATCAAATTGTTATGTTGGAACAAGTAGAAGGCAATGCTTATTATTAATTCATATGTATGGAAACTACAAAAC